CAGCCACACACGCACTCCTATGGGCAATTTAGAGACACCAATCAACCTAAGCTGCATGTCTTTGGACTGTGGAAAGCCGGAGTACCCGGAGAGAACCCACACAAGCACGGGGAGAACATGCAAACTCTACACAGAAAGGTCCTGGGTGGGGCCCGAACCCAGAACCTTCTCGCTGTGAGGCTGTGAGTGCTAACCACTGCCCCACCGTGCTGCCTACTAAGACCAAATAGTGTCAAATTTGCAATTCATAAATTCTTCCAAGATCACCTTCACTATTCTTCCTTTCAGCTAACGCACCCATACTGTCATATTCAGTGATAATGTCAGGTGCATTCCATAAACTAGGTGCCTGGCCAAAAAAAATTAATTAAAAAAAATTGAGATCCATTAAAGATGCTCAGTCATGCAGGCAGAAAATGTCAGTGATTTAATAGAATTGTACTGCTGCACAATGTATCATGCTCTTTCATTTTCAGTGTAGAAAGGCAGACTGCTGATCTGCAGGTGTATTTCACTGGCAAAATGAGCTACAAATTTGTCAGTCTTTCACAGTGAACAGAGTGAGCCGAAGTCTTTATTTCCAGACCACTGGCCCAGCACCTGCTACCTCATTCTTGTATTCATTTAAGGGTGAAAATAGGATTTTGTTTGTTTTTTGACACACATGGACATGTTGTTGGCATGTACTTATGGTGACCTCTGTCTTTTGAGAGTAGGAAGAAAAAATACAGGAGAACACTGTTTACCTGCTGTAGCCCAGTTTTATTAAAGTTTCATCTGATCAGATCTAATCAAGATGATTTGGCTCACACGTTGTGGCCCTGCAGGGTGCAAAATCTCTTGTACTGAAAGGCTCTGCTTTGCTGGTAGAGTGCAGTACTGGTATACACCGTGACAGAAGTGTGCCTCTCACAGGTCAGTGATCCAGCTCCAGGCGATTGACGCAAGACCAGTCAGTGATACAGGCCAGTGTGAGGTCTCACTGCAAAATAGTAGAACTGCTTGTGCTCTGCTGATGACGTGGACATGGCTCACCAGGGGACTGATCGGTCAGCCAAGTTCCTCCCTGACCCGAGGCCTGATTGAGAGCCATGAAATTCTGTGAATCAGTAAAGATGGGGATGGTGAAGAGGAACAAACATTTTTAAACGTCACGTATATCCAAACTAAGATCTCCTGCTTATTCATGTTATTCTGGGAATTGCTGCTGAACAGGCCAGATGAAGCAGCTAACCAGAATGACTATAGTAAATTTGTATAATTTCAGCATGTGGAATTGGTCATTTAATTACACAAAATAATACCCAACACTTTCTCACAAATATATACTGAATTATCTTTTGAAATCTGATTGGATTGTGAGTGGAAAGTCGACCTGTACAATACAATAAAAATGGAAATTTTAAAATGTATTTCAACAGCATGGAGCCAATTTTTAACTTTTGACGTAAAGTGCAATTCTGACTACAGTGATACTTTGGATATTATAGTACAGTCAGTTCATAATTATCAACCACTATTTACAATAAGGCCACTGTCAGGAACTCTATTAACTGCAAGTAGATTCATCTGAGGCATATCAAATAGTGTCTGCCTCTTAACCGGTTTAGAGACTGAAAAAAGGTTCCTCTGTTGAAAATCTGAGGCAAGTTCAAAGGCACTTGAAAACAAGTTTCCAACAAGAGGTTACTTTGGTACAATGGACTGATTGTGCTTTTAGAAGAAGGCCTGAGAGAGGTCTAGCGAATATCTAATGCAGCCACTAAGTCTAATAAAAGTCATTCATGCATATTTACTTGTAGATTTTACCTTTGCCAGATCAAATCAAATCCATAATAGTGAAACTCTGGCATTTTCCCCTCTGATTAAAGCAAGGGCACTATTTTCAACACTATCTTTTTTTGCATACAAACAAACCCTTAAAGGGCTTTTTAGATTTATCAGATTTGTAACAATTCCCCACAGTGCTTAAAAGCCCATAGTGAAGTAATATTTTTAACATGAAGGAAATGAAGTATTGCGTTCCGGACTGATGTTTGGTTGGAAATGCATTATATGTGCCACTAGTGGAGTTATTTATATGCGTAAATACCACTGTGGCTGATTTTAGTGTATGCGAGGGAAATTAAGGCAACAAGTAAAATTAGGATTCCAGAGAAAATAGTACACAAAAGATGGCAAGTCTAACTTCATTTGTAGTGAAGCTTTTTCTGGAACACACTCTCTAGACAGTAAATTGCCAAAAAATGAAGTAGGGTACACTGCTTTTGAAAACTTTTTGGGCAAATTGTCTTCTTCACCATTGTAAATAGACTTTTGATTGTGGTTAACATGCATCAGCAATTTAACACAGTTTAAAGATAGCCTACTATTGATTTATTGGACAAGCTTCCTAGGCTTTTACTCTGATCTTCACAACCCCTTTACCAAAGGCTTTTGTCTCTTAATTAATAGGCCACATCACGAATTAAATCAGTTCATATTGTAGAGCAGAACTATCAGATTGTCTGCAGTATGTGAGAACTATATGTAATGTACTGTATGATGGCTGTATTCACCATCAACCACACATTCTGTTAACGCATTAAACCTTCAGAGTGCAAATATCAACTAATAAAATCACAATCGCTGCAATTATACAAGAAATGATACGTTTTTTTTATTATTAAACGTCATATTGTTGACCCAACATCTCACGTCAGGTGAGACCCATCCCATCATTCCCTGAGCTCTTGCAGTCGGTGGAGGTCAACTGCGCCCCCTGGCCACGTGAGAATATCGTTGCCCCCGTCGGTGGAACGTCAGAGCAAGTCGGGATCAAACGTTTTGATTGTACAAGTTATAACTTGGAGACCAGCCAATTCACAAAATTACGTAAAGGGAAAATGTATGAAATAATAATATTTTAACTGACCTATGCAGGAAACGTTCTGTACTGCACCGTTTTACATGTCACCTTTTGAGAGACCCTTGATTACGTAAACATGCGCACAACATTGCACGTTACGGATATGACGTCAACGCGCTGTAATTCAAACTTGAGGAAATGAAAGCATCTGCTTAGGAAGCGGTTCTGTCGTTAACAGACTGTTTTCAGAGGATATCTCCGTTTTATTTGTTATGTGAGTATTACATTTTTGTTGTTTATTTGTGCTATAATGTCTGTTTTCATGTTTTTTTCCTTAGAAGTGGACAGCTGACAGTTTAGAAAGTGTTAACGTTAGATTTGTTTGCAATTAAAGACAGTTACAGGGACATTCCCAGTGTAACACTGTCGAGTTTTATAACTGAACGAATTTAACTGAAAACGATAATAGTTGTGAATGTATGTTAACGTTATTGAAATATGTTAATAAATACATGTATAGAATAAGTTCATAGACTAACGAGAAGGACACGTGTCCTGTAAGCAAATATTTCTATCAACTAAGCTGAGACTAACTTGTAAAATCTATTGCACAATAAGTTAAACTATTCAGTATCACCTTTTTATTCTGTGTAATGTTTTGCATGTTAATCTTTTATAGCTAAGGTTGTATTTTGAGCTTCTCCTCACTTCTAAAATATGTAATAAAATGATATCTAAATACTTTCTGTTCAATTTTGTGAATTGGCTGGTCTCCTCAGACTATTCCAGGTTACGGCCTCAGCGCAGCCATGACTTCTAAAAGTGCCAAAGAGACCATTGTTGCCAAACTGGGTTTCAAATCCAGCAGCTGTGCCTCCAAAGCTGAGGCAGAGCTAGAGAAAATCAGGAAGGAGAACATTCACCTGAGGAAAAAGATTGACGAACTGGCCAAACAACACACCAAACCACCTGACTCTGACAAAAACAAGCTGCTAGAGGTAAAGGAATTGTTTGTTTTATCAGTTGTCTGCATTATTTTTTTTTTTTTTGTATATTAATGTTTTTATGGTG